CAGGGACGGGCCCGGCCAAAAGCCCGGCTGGAATTAAGTCTTACTCGCTCCTGATGTTAGCCGTGGCTTGGCATCAAACTCAATGGGGCTCACGGTGCCATGGCCCAAATACTTCACTGCCGCTTGTTGAGTTTTTCTTGGTAATTTCTCACGTTCTTTTTTACGTGATTATTACCGATGCCTCTTTTAGTTGTTGTGATACACTCCAGGAAGGCACACCTGTAGCATAGACCTTGTTTAAAAAAGAGTGTGTGGGGGGGGGAGGGGGGGCACGACTCCGGTCAATGTTAAACAAACTTCAAACGAGTGTGAAACGCTAAACAGCAGCGACGACAAGATCTGCGCGGTTGCCCGTCATGCGTTCTGCTCTGGCTCTCAACCCCTGACGCGGACGAGCGAATGCTCTCCGACGCCCCGTCGCTTCGTTGCCGTGCTCGTCTGCGCACGATGTCCGCCCCCTCTAGCCATCGCGTGCTGGTTGCTGCGTGTGGACGGTGGTTGCCGATTCGCCCATCTGAAGCCAGCACACGACACGCGGGCACGTTCCATTTCACGGCCAAGGGTGGTCCGCTAAGGCGCCCCACGCCTTTCTTTACTTCGCTGCAGCATTCCCTCGCTCTTCGCGAACTTGCTGTGCGCAATTTTGGGCTGTTCGCGAATCCCATCTGGAACTCTACAGGACTGCATGGGGAGAGAGAGAAAGTGATGATGATGCTACTGCGCAGCATCATACTTTAATATAAGTTAATTATAAACTATAACATAACTAGCCTTTTGCCCGTCCAAGGACGGGTGTATTTCAGTAAATCTGAAACTTGCGAGCGAAAAGCAGACCGCGACGTGATATTCATTGTGTAAGGACAGTACGGGGTGATGTAGGGACAGTATGGCCCCCTGTGGCCATGGCTACTAATTAAAGTAACGCGAACAGACAGGGTCACGTTAGGGTACCGTGGGACCTAAGTGGTCGCTAATAATGATTGATGCGACAGGGTCGCGTGAGGGGAAGCACGGGGACCTAACGGTCGTAAATTGTGATAAGAGCAGAGACGGAGAGGGCCAGGTGCGGTGAGAGAGGGTTCGGGAATAGGGGCGTGGCCGGGTCGTGAGGGGGATAAGAGCCGGCGTGAACCGGGGCTCTGGGCTGTTGTTGTAGGGGAACTGCCATCACCGTCGTCACCTTTCAGCGGGTCCTCTTCACCATCCTGGAGTGGGCACCTTGTCGTCTTGGAAGACTCAGAGTTATGTCTCAGAATAGATTTACCTAAGTTACCCAAGTGTATATAGTCACTCGCCATTGCTCGTTAAGTTATTGGTGAGTCGGCGGACTTTATTCATGATAAATAAACATATAACTGAACAAGACGGTGTCTCTGAGAGCTAGATTACAATTGCATCAATTCGTGTGCAATTTCTAAGGCCGCTGGAGGGTTCTGCCTTTGTAGTGAGGGTTGTAAGTTGACGCCGAGGAGGGGGGAGGAGGCGCCTCGCCCCCCCATGTGGTGTGACGTCACCCACTAATTAATATTAATGGCAGGGTGTCCATTTGGAAGACGTCACCTCTTCATGATTATTAATGAGGGGGGCTGTTCGATGTGGAGTGATGTCACCCGCTCATGATTATTAATGAGGCGGGGGGGGGTCCATGTGGAGGACGTCACCTCTTCATGAGTATTAATGAGGGGGGCTGCCCGACGTGGAGTGACGTTACGCGCGGGACACACAGACATTCTTGGCTCATTATAGTCGTTAATACTTTCATGTTACATTTCATCTACTTTGTGTTTATTGTTATAAGCACATGTTTTTTTTTGCTTGTGCTTTTATGATAATTTTAATTTAATAGCTTATTGATGTATTTATTTAAGGCAATTCATTGAGAAAAGACAGGTGTGCGTAGGCCAATATCATTATTCCACGAATTTTGCTATTTTGCTGTTCACGAGCGTCTCCGGAACGTATCCCTCGCGAATAACGAGGGGAGACTGCCTTAGGATGTAGAGGGGGGGGGGGGGGGGCTCGGCATTAACCAGGGCGCAGGGCTGCAGCCCTGCCCCTGTTGATGGTCACCTTGGTTGGTGGGTGTTACGATTGTTTTGTTTGATTCTCTCTCTCCGTCACTTGCGATGGGCCCCGTGCCACGCGCGCCGGGTTAAACCATCGCACGCGCACAGCCCTTTGGTGAGCCCTGACCCCGGTGACCTTGGGGGTTGGGGTTACGCCCACCGCCGAGTATTACGGAAAGATCAACAATGGGCTTCGTGCCGCCGCGCGCCGTGGGCTGACTTTGCTGCTACTGCTGCTGCTGCAAGAGAGGGGAATTTGTTCTCTTGGTTTATTTACTTAATTTGTAACCTTCATTCAAACGTCACTCTGAAGAAGGAGAAAACCCAGCAGCTGCAGTGCGTGTGGTTTGAGCAGAAATCGACGACAAAAACAACAAAAACACGTGACCAATTTGGAAGGAGAAAATTGGTCGACAATGATTAACTTGTATTTAATTTGGTCATGGTGGAGTGGTGGCACAGCGGTTGTTAGCGCATAGAGCCATGAAGTCGTCAACCTCAGTTCGATTGCCGGCCACGGCTACCAACAGCGACGAGTGATATCGGAACAAATCCTGGGACTCCTCGCCACCCATTTGCCAACCGCGTACTGCCCAGCGTGGCGAAGTACGGTCAAACAAACCCCCCGTGACTGATATAACATGGGAAGGCCCTCATTCAGCCGTGGCTAGACCAAGGGCTGTTCAATATTATTTATTTTAATGTCAACAATTTATCGCTGCAGATACACCAAAGCTGCAAAAAATAATTTCAATTTTAAATTAAGTATTTGGTGATTAAACTAAGGTCATGTGACATGCGGTGATGATGGATTTGGCAGCAGCAATTACTAAATGTGCCGCATGAGTTACGGAGGTGTAAATGCCAGCGCTTGATGATGTTAGATGAATTATGATTTATATATATGGCTGTGTAGCGGAGTACATGGCTCGCAAGAAGTACGCGCGAGTTTTAAATCCTGGTAAGGGATTGGCTCAATTCAGCAACCCTCCGGCGTTGATAAAATGAGTGCTCTACAACCTATTGGGGAAAGCGAATAGTGGTTGTCCTGCGAACAAACTTGACCCCACCATAGGAGTGTGGAATTTCCACCAGGAGAGCGGGGAAATCACTTTGCCTTCTGTCCAGAGGGCGCAAATGGGTTTTGATTCCTTACCCGTACCCGTACCCGGCCGCACCAGGGTTGCAAACGGGTACCCGTACCCGGCCGGGTACGGGTAGCCGGGTATCGGGTAGGGTACGGGTATCGGGTACCCGGTTGCGACCTCTGCTTCTGTCCCCTTTTTTTGAAAGACAATGGATAAACGACATAGTTGATATCTAGATTTGAAGTTTTCGTGACTGCAGGGATCCATACTCTTTGGTTCTTTCGGTAAATTCACGTGGGTATATTTTATTTTTTATACCTACGTGACTTTACCGAAAGAACCAAAAAGGACACAGTTGATAGTTCAGCGTTATCGTTAATCTTGTGTTTGTGTGTGTGGCTGTGAACCCTTTGTGCCTTGTGCCCGTGGGTGTCGCAGCCGTCGCTCTGGGTCATGTTTGAGACGTACGCGTTTGTCGGTGGTCTTCCTATAACTCGGATTCCCCCATTTGGAAATAAAGATTCTGATTCTATAACTCGAACCGTGCTCCTTAAGCTTTACTGCAGCCTTGCACCCCTTTGGATCTCAATCGTATTATGTTTTTAATTATGTTAATACATACATAGGCTTGATGTGTTTTCGATGATTTACTTTCTAAAAATATCTGCCCACGTCTCGCACCCCCAGAAAGGGCATCACGCACCCCAGGTTAGGAACAACTGATCTAGAAGAGGAGCTTTCACTGGTTTGAAATCAAAGCGTTGCCTCCCTAGCATTGAAAGCTTGTGTGGACGTCTTTGTGTCTGCTCATATGTGCTTGTGTGTATACATGTGTGGGTGTGCGCGGGGGAGGGGGTGGCACGGTGGTTAACTCTGCACTGCTTTATGAACCTGTTGTATGTATCTATGCACGTGTGTTCACTTGGCTGTATGCATCCACTGTGTGTGTGCGAATACATTGCGGGGAGCGGTGGCGGAGTGGTTAGCGCACTGCGATACAAACCCGGCGACCAGTGTTCCTTTCCTGTTTACGGCCAACACCAGTGACGATTATCTGCACCGATCCTGGGCCTTCTTTAGGTCGACTTAGCCTCAAATGAGTACCTAGTGGGGCACTTGCCACAACAGTCTATGAAAGCTATACGGGAAGATCTTTGCCTGGAATACATTCAGGTCCAAGCATTGTTGCACATGTGCTTTTCACGATCCTAGCCTCTCCTGATTAATGCTCTCCCCATGCTAAACATTGCAATAAATAAGCAACCTGTAAAAATATACACATCGGACACTTAAATAAACACCTTACCTTCAACAAGAGGTGCACAGTGAGAACCTGCGTTTGAGAACGATGCTGCAATCATTGCCCGCAAAAAAAACCGACGTGCGGGCCCGCGTGGGTTTCTGGTGAATGATACACCGCGGCTTGGGCCTCCGGGGTCCCATGAAGTTGCGGCAAACTTGGAACATTGTCCGCGGGGTGTCCATCCCCCCCTCGGCCATCGCAGCCTGCAATGAGTAACTCGACGCAGCAGAGGTGAGCCTCACTTCCTGCACGGACGAAGGAGGCAACGATGGTCGGAGACCGGTAACGGCGGCCGCCTCGATCCTGTGCGCACGTGCGAACCGGTGCTGGGCCTCCCCTAAGTCGACTCGGCATCAAATGAGTACCCACTGCGGTGGGTCAACAACGCCACTGGGGAGACAAAGGCGGCCGGGCGTGGTTCTCGCCACCCACCCTGCCTCGTGTGCCGTGTCGGCCTTCGTAGGTGCTGCTCGCTAACAGCGCTTGCCCCGACGGTCTGTTGAGGTTACACGGGGGATCTTTGTTTGTGTTGTGTGTTCTCAGCCCAGCACGCTGCCCCAGGGCACGCTGAACTTGGCCCAGTGCACGGAGGTCGCGGGTGCGGAGGAGCGGACGGGACGCAAGCACTCGCTGCGCATCGCCGCGCCCGACAGGGAGCTCTTCATCGGAGGGGAGAGCAGGGAGGATATCAGCGCGTGAGTACAAGACAAAGATCACCCATGTAGCCTTAACATACTTTTGCGGCAAGTGGTGTTAGCGAGTAGCACCTATTAAGGCCGGTCCGGCACACGAGGGGGTGGGTGGCCAGCACTGCTCCCGGTCGTCTCTGTCCCCCTGGTGGCGATGTTTACACATCATACCCGGTACTCGTTTGAGGCTGAGTCAACCTAGGGGAGGCCCAGAACTTGTTCAAATAATTGTCACTGGTGTTAGCCAGGTTCATAGCGCAGCACGCTAACCGCTGCACCACCGCGTGAGTACTCACACACACGCGCGCGCTTGTGCGGCCGTCTGGAACGCTCTTCCTTCCAATATTAGGAAGCCACTGGAGCTATGCACTTTTAAATCATCTAGTTTGAAAACTGATTTCTTTAGAACTGCTACGCACGGTGCGAAAGAAGTTCAACATATATACTTACCGGCTATTTGGGCAAATGCTGTTAGCGAGCACCTGTTGAAGCCGGCACTGCTGGTGTTTTACAAAATCTGCCAAGTAGTTGTGTTAAGGCTGAGTCGCCCGAGCGGAGGTCCAAGATGGGCTTAGGATATCAGTAGCCACCACTGTCAGCTGACAGACAAGCACCCGGCATGCAAAACCCCACGTGGATAAATAAATCGTCAAGTATGCTCGCGGAGTAATGTCATGAAAGTCAGTGTCTGCTCGAACTCTCAGACGGCAGTACATCACCCCACGTGCTTGGCAATGGCAGGCAGCAGGCATGGCAATGACGACACAATTTGTCATCATTGTCAGGGGGCCCGTTGAGGGTGAATACCAATTTAGACCGACAACTCGCGTAACCATCTTGCCCCAGCCTACATCGTCGCACCCATGTCCCCTCAAGGTCCCTTAGGGCCTGGGCATGCTGCAGATCTTCTCTGCAATCCCAGATCGAGAATTCGGTCTGTGGGTGGCCGAGCTTGTTCCCGCGTAGCCCCCAGGAACGCACTTCCACGACATATCAGGGATCTCACAGAGTCTGTGGACATTTAAAAAATGCGCCCTAAACCTATTCATACACTTCCGCTTATTAAGCTTTTAGTTCATTTAGTAAATGGATTATTTCACTTGTAATATATTTTTATGCTGAGTGCTGCTGCTGCTATGTCCTGTACAGCACTTTGAGATCCTTGATGAGAAGCGCTATATACATGGATTTATTATTATAATAATTTGATGGTGGGCTCATTACCATACACCACTTGCTCATGAACATTTTATGCTGAACTGATCTAGGGGAGGCCCAGATGTTGTTCATGGCCAGGAGGCAAACCGAGGTCCGCGGGGATTGCAGCACGCCGTGGAAACTTGGCTTTCAACGACGCATCGTTACTGACGATTCTCGTGCTGACGACGCATCGTTACTGACGATTCTCGTGCTGACGACGCATCGTTACTGACGATTCTCGTGCTGACGACGCATCGTTACTGACGATTCTCGTGCTGACGGCGCATCGTTACTGACGATTCTCGTGCTGACGACGCATCGTTACTGACGATTCTCGTGCTGACGACGCATCGTTACTGACGATTCTCGTGCTGACGACGCATCGTTACTGACGATTCTCGTGCTGACGACGCATCGTTACTGACGATTCTCGTGCTGACGACGCATCGTTACTGACGATTCTCGTGCTGACGGCGCATCGTTACTGACGATTCTCGTGCTGACGGCGCATCGTTACTGACGATTCTCGTGCTGACGGCGCATCGTTACTGACGATTCTCGTGCTGACGACGCATCGTTACTGACGATTCTCGTGCTGACGGCGCATCGTTACTGACGATTCTCGTGCTGACGGCGCATCGTTACTGACGATTCTCGTGCTGACGGCGCATCGTTACTGACGATTCTCGTGCTGACGGCGCATCGTTACTGACGATTCTCGTGCTGACGACGCATCGGTTACTGACGATTCTCGTGCTGACGACGCATCGTTACTGACGATTCTCGTGCTGACGGCGCATCGTTACTGACGATTCTCGTGCTGACGGCGCATCGTTACTGACGATTCTCGTGCTGACGACGCATCGTTACTGACGATTCTCGTGCTGACGGCGCATCGTTACTGACGATTCTCGTGCTGACGGCGCATCGTTACTGACGATTCTCGTGCTGACGGCGCATCGTTACTGACGATTCTCGTGCTGACGGCGCATCGTTACTGACGATTCTCGTGCTGACGGCGCATCGTTACTGACGATTCTCGTGCTGACGGCGCATCGTTACTGACGATTCTCGTGCTGACGGCGCATCGTTACTGACGATTCTCGTGCTGACGGCGCATCGTTACTGACGATTCTCGTGCTGACGGCGCATCGTTACTGACGATTCTCGTGCTGACGGCGCATCGTTACTGACGATTCTCGTGCTGACGGCGCATCGTTACTGACGATTCTCGTGCTGACGGCGCATCGTTACTGACGATTCTCGTGCTGACGGCGCATCGTTACTGACGATTCTCGTGCTGACGGCGCATCGTTACTGACGATTCTCGTGCTGACGGCGCATCGTTACTGACGATTCTCGTGCTGACGGCGCATCGTTACTGACGATTCTCGTGCTGACGGCGCATCGTTACTGACGATTCTCGTGCTGACGGCGCATCGTTACTGACGATTCTCGTGCTGACGGCGCATCGTTACTGACGATTCTCGTGCTGACGGCGCATCGTTACTGACGATTCTCGTGCTGACGGCGCATCGTTACTGACGATTCTCGTGCTGACGGCGCATCGTTACTGACGATTCTCGTGCTGACGGCGCATCGTTACTGACGATTCTCGTGCTGACGGCGCATCGTTACTGACGATTCTCGTGCTGACGGCGCATCGTTACTGACGATTCTCGTGCTGACGGCGCATCGTTACTGACGATTCTCGTGCTGACGGCGCATCGTTACTGACGATTCTCGTGCTGACGGCGCATCGTTACTGACGATTCTCGTGCTGACGGCGCATCGTTACTGACGATTCTCGTGCTGACGGCGCATCGTTACTGACGATTCTCGTGCTGACGGCGCATCGTTACTGACGATTCTCGTGCTGACGGCGCATCGTTACTGACGATTCTCGTGCTGACGGCGCATCGTTACTGACGATTCTCGTGCTGACGGCGCATCGTTACTGACGATTCTCGTGCTGACGGCGCATCGTTACTGACGATTCTCGTGCTGACGGCGCATCGTTACTGACGATTCTCGTGCTGACGGCGCATCGTTACTGACGATTCTCGTGCTGACGGCGCATCGTTACTGACGATTCTCGTGCTGACGGCGCATCGTTACTGACGATTCTCGTGCTGACGGCGCATCGTTACTGACGATTCTCGTGCTGACGGCGCATCGTTACTGACGATTCTCGTGCTGACGGCGCATCGTTACTGACGATTCTCGTGCTGACGGCGCATCGTTACTGACGATTCTCGTGCTGACGGCGCATCGTTACTGACGATTCTCGTGCTGACGGCGCATCGTTACTGACGATTCTCGTGCTGACGGCGCATCGTTACTGACGATTCTCGTGCTGACGGCGCATCGTTACTGACGATTCTCGTGCCTGACGGCGCATCGTTACTGACGATTCTCGTGCTGACGGCGCATCGTTACTGACGATTCGTGCGACGGGCGCATCCGTCTGACGATTCTCGTGCTGCGGCATCGTTACTGACGATTCTCGTGCTGACGGCGCATCGTTACTGACGATTCTCGTGCTGACGGCGCATCGTTACTGACGATTCTCGTGCTGACGGCGCATCGTTACTGACGATTCTCGTGCTGACGGCGCATCGTTACTGACGATTCTCGTGCTGACGGCGCATCGTTACTGACGATTCTCGTGCTGACGGCGCATCGTTACTGACGATTCTCGTGCTGACGGCGCATCGTTACTGACGATTCTCGTGCTGACGGCGCATCGTTACTGACGATTCTCGTGCTGACGGCGCATCGTTACTGACGATTCTCGTGCTGACGGCGCATCGTTACTGACGATTCTCGTGCTGACGGCGCATCGTTACTGACGATTCTCGTGCTGACGGCGCATCGTTACTGACGATTCTCGTGCTGACGGCGCATCGTTACTGACGATTCTCGTGCTGACGGCGCATCGTTACTGACGATTCTCGTGCTGACGGCGCATCGTTACTGACGATTCTCGTGCTGACGGCGCATCGTTACTGACGATTCTCGTGCTGACGGCGCATCGTTACTGACGATTCTCGTGCTGACGGCGCATCGTTACTGACGATTCTCGTGCTGACGGCGCATCGTTACTGACGATTCTCGTGCTGACGGCGCATCGTTACTGACGATTCTCGTGCTGACGGCGCATCGTTACTGACGATTCTCGTGCTGACGGCGCATCGTTACTGACGATTCTCGTGCTGACGGCGCATCGTTACTGACGATTCTCGTGCTGACGGCGCATCGTTACTGACGATTCTCGTGCTGACGGCGCATCGTTACTGACGATTCTCGTGCTGACGGCGCATCGTTACTGACGATTCTCGTGCTGACGGCGCATCGTTACTGACGATTCTCGTGCTGACGGCGCATCGTTACTGACGATTCTCGTGCTGACGGCGCATCGTTACTGACGATTCTCGTGCTGACGGCGCATCGTTACTGACGATTCTCGTGCTGACGGCGCATCGTTACTGACGATTCTCGTGCTGACGGCGCATCGTACTGACGATTCTCGTGCTGACGGCGCATCGTTACTGACGATTCTCGTGCTGACGGCGCATCGTTACTGACGATTCTCGTGCTGACGGCGCATCGTTACTGACGATTCTCGTGCTGACGGCGCATCGTTACTGACGATTCTCGTGCTGACGGCGCATCGTTACTGACGATTCTCGTGCTGACGGCGCATCGTTACTGACGATTCTCGTGCTGACGGCGCATCGTTACTGACGATTCTCGTGCTGACGGCGCATCGTTACTGACGATTCTCGTGCTGACGGCGCATCGTT